AAAGTTAATTAACAAACGGAGACGTAACAGTACGCTGTCCAAGTACGGACTCAGGCACGTGGAGCGCCTGTAGACAAATAACACATTAAGGTGATGGGATGTTATTCGAACAAGTAAACACTATGGTTTAAGGAATATTTCCTTATTAAATCCATGCCCCCCAGTGGCACAGCGGCATGTCTGCGGACTTACAACGCTAGAATCCGGGTTTCGATACCCGTGGTGGGCAGATCACAGATATCCCATTGCGTAGCTGCTTAATTACAAACAAACAAACAAATTAAATCCACAGCCATAACAACCGTCGTTTCACCGCTTCAACTTGTGTCTACAAATATAATGAATGGCAGAGAAAAGGGTGGGACCACTGGTGAATGGATTCTGTAAAAGGGGATATGAGGTAATGCCGAAACCGAACTCCCTCTATAAAGATACATCAAACGCGTATGCGCAATATCGTATTCAAGCAATCAGCGACAGTCAGGTACTTGTATCGTGGTTGTTGTAGATCAGATGCTCCAGGATTTCCGATAATTTTGGGTTTGCCCGGTAATACTTTCTCCTTCACTTTTGTGGGTCAAATAGTCTAAGGTAGTTTTAAATGTGTGTTGGTATTACATCTTCTTAAGCCTCGATTGCTATTATTGTTATTGGGAAATGAAAACAAGTCGGTGTGTTGTTTCAAACGGATGACGTTAAATATTATTATTAATTAAGAAGATGGGGAAGTTGAAGGCTTTTGAGATTGTATTTGACGGTAACAAAACTGTCTTCTATCCGGGACAGCAAGTTAGCGGAAAATGTGTTGTAGACTTGCGGGGTGATATGAAGATGAAGTCCCTTTGTGTGTTTATGCGAGGTGTGGCTAAGGTTCACTGGACAGAATCGAGAAGTACTGGTAATCGGCTTGGAGCATACACTGAACATTACAATGCTGAGATAGAGTATTTCTTTATGAAACAAGTTTTGTTCGGTGGAGGTAAGTGTAGTATATTATCGTTAACTTGGCCTTTATCACCAGTTTCTTTATTAAGCGTCTGTATTTTAATATAAATCTGGTGTGACTTTAAGTTTAACGTAACTCTGTTACTGTACACTGTCTGTAGCTGCTGCTGCTAGTAGTAACAATAATAGTATTAGACTATTAGTATTAGTAGAATTACTAGCTTGATTTGGATTGCTGATCTAGTGTTACTGATAATATTATAAGCTCTAGCATTAAGTTTAACAAACAAAATATATTATCATTAGCGTTAGCACTGCCTTTCATGTACCTCCATTTAAATTTTTACGTACACTTACAGGTAAAACTAAATTGTTTATAATTTTTATGCACTTTAAAATTAAGAATGTATCATTTATTTTAATTTTTTTCAGAAATCAATAGACTTTCTGATGTCTTGCATGTTTATTAGGTATTCATTAGTGAAATTATTAATAATACAATTTGTGATGTTTAAAAAATTAGGCTGTTTTAGAGAAGGTACAACTACAAGATGCATGTGTTCTAAAGTATGAATTATTAACTTGATTTGAATGTTTTATGATCAAATGATAGCATTATTAATGTACTTAAAGAAAAGGTTGGTAATTTAACTTTAATTACTTTGCATACCAGGCCAGTATGTTGTTCCTGTTGACAGAATACATGTGCACATAGCTTCATGTACTGTTCTGTTACTAGAGTAACTAGACAAGAAATTAAAATTGTGCAGGATAAACTTGCACTTCAGTAATACATCTACAGGTGCTCTTTTACATTATTGTCAACATAAATATATAAGAAAAAAGTAAGCTATTTAAAAATTTTTACTGTATATGACAAATGAAGATTTTTTAATTAAAGAAGTATATCTTTCAAATATCCTATATCTTGAAGTTCAGTGTGGTAACAGTATTTTACCATAAAAATCTTAATAGTGGAATTTTATTGAAAGAACAGTACTTTTGAATAACTTTTTTTTTATATTCTGGCTAGATAATTAAATGATACATTTGGATAGATAAAGTTTAACAACTAGTAGAGATAAGAGTTGGTTAATTTTCTTGCTTATATGAAAGAACAGGAATCATTCTGCAAGTTCAACTGACAAACATTAGATGTCAAGATGTGAAACTTAAAACGTTTTATTTTCTTTTTGCATTGTAATTAATGTTAAAAATTTTCTTACTACAAGAACTTGAATAAATGGATAACTTAAATTCCATATATTGTATTCAGTCTTTCCATTTTAGAAATTCTTTCAAAACTTAAGTACTTACCAAGATTTTAATGGATGATGGCCAGAGATCATTAAGAAAAGTTGCTATTGAACATGAACCTTTGTAATTATTTTGCAAATTATAAGAGCTTCTTTTTTAAGTTTATTATTCCTACATGTGTGTAGCAGTGGTTTTAGCTGCATATTAGTGACACTGAGTCTGAATAAAACCTCTGATTCTGAATGGATTATTATCAAAAATTTTTTGTTGCTTTAAGATATTTTAAAATTAGTAGCATGTTTATTTCTGTCATATTCTATATCGGCTTTTAGACATCAGAAGTGTTTTATGAAGTCTAAAGATCAAATCACTTTATCTGCCTTTAGGGGCAGACCTAGGAACATTTCTTACTGTTTTCCAAATTACTTAAGTGAAAATGTTTGAGGCATTAGCTTGCACATGCCACAAGCACTTGCAACCTACAGAAGTCTTGGGGAATGTCTCCCAAGGTAGGTTCAAAGTGGTTTATTCCAGTACATTTTAGAGGCATAATTCAAATGAAGAAAGTAGCACATTTTTACATAAGGATTTATTGAAGTGTGAATTGAACATGCTTCAAATAAATAAAAGGAATTTAAAGGTTCTATTAGGTAACATTGATATTTCTAAAATGTACCTTACCTTGTGCTAACAAATGTTAGTAAACATTTAAGATGTCTTTGATTGAAAATAATGGTCACCAGCATGTCTTATCAGTCTGTTTAAAAACAAAACTTTCACTTATTTCATACAGTGAGGATTTTGTCTGAAAAACATGTTTAGGACCTCATCATGGTTAATTTGCAGTCTGTAGTGGAAGCAGAGCTAGCTTACTGAGGCATGCATTTATGTTTTCAACATTTGAAAGAGTTGACACACTTTCCTTGCAGTAACATGTTGTGATTGATAGAACTGCCAGGATGACCAGTAGGATGGCAATATTTGGGAAAATGAGCCTGTTGGTAGCACTTATTATGCTGGCAGGCTCATAGGACAGCATCCTTCTTCTGCTGATGTCCGTCTCACTTTTGCTCTCTCGTCACAAGAAAGGACAGGAGGAATACAGACTTTGTACAAACATGGAGGAATACATTGGCTTTTGTTGTTGCATCAGTAATTCATCAGTTGGCCCCATTCCCAGTTATTTGTTTAAGTACTTGAATGGTTGGTTGTATCAGTTTTATTAAAGAGCATCAAGTTGCAGGAACCAATGAATTTGGCACATCATCTATCTCTTGTGTTTGGTTCTAGAGAATTATTTCTTGATTTTTGTCTGTAGCAGATCTTAGTGTTTCTGTGACAGATTGAAAAAGAGACTGATCTCTTTCAAGGTTTGTGACACCCTTTATCTGGAATGGCATTGTGGCACTAAAGTTGCATTTATCACAAAAACAATGCATGTATGGTAATTTAGGATATTGTGCAGTGATGATGGTAGCCTTATACTTCCCAGTATCATCTTAAGATGTAATTTTTCTATTGACAGTGTGGTTGTTTACCCCCCGTTCCAGGAACTACGAAGACTAACTTGTTGGTGTTTTCCAGTTCTTTTGAATAATAGTAAAGTTAATTGAAACAAACAAACAATAATACTAATGTCAGGTTTTTATGTCTGGATGGGCTGATTCTTCACAGTTGGTGTCTGTAACATGTTGGTGATAAATTTCAACAATAAACAAACAGCACACAGTCCACTTATTGTAAAATAATATATTGAAACAAGTCAAATGTGTATACAAATGGTCATTATACAGTTAATTATCATTTGACCTGTGCATTGCAAATAAGAGAGAATACTCAAAATATTCTTTCAGAATATCAGGATGATGTCTCTGCTATGGTTTCTTAAGTTGAGAAGAGTCTGGATGATTCTAGAATTGCTGACTTCAATATTTGTTGAATCATCCCAGTGTTCTCTTTGTAGAACTGGGCATTAAGTTGATTAATTGATACAATTGATTACCTTTGAGAATCAATTACATTGCATCATGTTTACTTAAAATAAGTGATTAATCAGAATTAGTATTTAATTATTACTCTCCTGGTTTATTCTGCTTATCCAAGTAATAGAAATATTGCAATATGATTTCTCATGAATACTATTGATTAATTCAAGGTTGTTCAGCTTAATCAATTAGTATTATGCTTGACAAAAATGGTCAATTAATCAAAATTAATATTTTTGATTCTTCCAACTATCCAAGTGGGAATAAATATTTAATTAAATAGAATTGATTAATTAGCCAAATGATTAATTAATTATCAAGTTCCACTAATCACCCTACTCTATCTCTTAGTACTATATTTTGCTTCCCACAGAGGATGACAGTCTTCTGGACAGATGTTAGGTTTGCAGTGTTGTTCACAATGTGCTTTTGAATAGTTTGGTTGGGTGGGTATTATTCTTGCAATTCTAATGTTTTCATATTCTGTTGAAAAATGGAATATCTGTGGAACATGAACTTCCATGATACAATGCTCCAGTTTGCATATGGAAACCAATTAGAACAGGTGAAGCTTAGAAACATTTTTCCCCACATAAAATCCAAAGAGAACACGGTAGTGGCAGAAAGGAAGTGTCCAACCAGCCCAAGTGGGTCAGCCAGGGAAATCTTGACAAAACATCTGGACTTAAAGATTGGTATTTTCCATACTTCATTTGTATAAGATATGAAAACCCAGGAGAGGGTTTACAGGTGGTTTTCAGTAGATTGTACTGAGTTCTCTCTGCAAACAAACAAACAGAATTTACATTCCTCACACTTTGACAAAACTGAAATAATGTGATACCATAATGCAATTTTTAGGACTTCTCATATGCATATCAATGAATGATCTATAAAGAAGTGGTGCATTTATTTTCTGAGGTACAAGTTCATGCATTTGTAAATGAATTAAAATTATTTTCAAAGTCTGACCATTTTCCAGAAGAAATAGAAGACTCCCTGTATCTGGACTTGGCCATAATTCAATTGTATTTAAAACATCATAAGTGGCATGTTTGTGAAGACTAATATTAGAGGCTTTTATTCAGTTTAAATGATTTTAGAAGACTAATGTTGAAAATAGCAGTTCAGTTTCTAGTTTTTTCTAAGGGACTAATTTTAAGAGGCAGTGATTTTTTTTTTTCTGTTTGTTAGAGAAGACTACTGTTAGTAACAATGATTCAGGTTTTAGTTATTATCGATGTTAAAAACAGTTTTAGTTTTTAGTTGTAGGAGACTAATTTTAGAAACGGTGACTTAATTTCTAGTTATTGTAGAAATCTAACTTTTAATTCCAGTGATTCAGTATCTGGTAGTTATAGAAGAAGAATATTAGAAACAATTTTCCAACTTTAGTATGTGCTAAATATTTTTTTATAAATTTTTTTGTCATACTTAACATACTAAACAATCTACTAGTAAGAATTCCTTCTTTTAATACTTCATTGTAGTATCAAGAATGTTAAAATTTGTAATGCAGCTATTAAGTAGCACTTAAATACTATTAATTTTTATTTCCTGTGATTCCTGTGTAGAAATTAGATCCAAACTAGTAGGTGCACTGGATTTATTGCTTAAAAACACTTGGATACATTTTTTTTTTTACTTGTGGTACTAAAATTCATGTCATTACTTATCTCTTTCCACCTTAACTGGTTTGGCTAAAAAAACTCATCAAAAAGAACAAAAAACATCTTAAAATATCAAACACACACAGGAACCTGGAATTCATCATGTGTTCTCTTCAAAATGC